TTTGATTTTCTAACCTTTTATCAGTAATTGATGACTTTTCTCAGGTTGCTGCTCTATATGTGAACGTGGACAAATGGAGAAGGAACCATTCAAGTAAATAAGTGTTTTTTTCTTTTTTTGCACATTTTTTAATAGTATCCATAGCAATGTTTTTGCACATGTTTTAGAGTAGGAACCTGCTACTCAGTAGCCAGACTCAAGGCTTAAACTGTACTACATTCATATGCTGAAACCTTAAAGAGAAAGTCAAGGGTTGATGCAGACAAGAAACATGATTATCCATTTTACAAATTAATCTTAGTAGTCATGTCAGTGATTTAACTAATTGAGATATCCACATTCATTAGAATAAAATGGCATAATGGATCATATAGAAACATTTATTGTCTTTTGTAGCATTAACCTCTCACAGCGATGTCCAGAAGCTATGCATTTAACTTTAACGTATCCACAAGGGTCCATCCTTCCCCCTTTGCTTGTGTCTGGCTTCAAAAGAGTAGCAGCCTCCCATGAAAGAGCAGTGATGATCTCCAACCAGCTTTCTTTATCATTTTCATCATCCACAGGAAGTTTCTCAACCTGTAAAAGCTGAGCTACCAAAGCTCTAAAATGTCCATCAACTATATTCTTGATTGCTTTTTTGTGCTTCTCAGTTGACCTATCCCTACTACGAGACTCCCCACTTCCAAAGCTCCTTGGGTTGCACAGATATCCCCACTCTCCTGTAGCATGCCCATCATCATCATCATCAAACAGAGCAGCCTCCCTCTCATCTTCTTCATCTTCTGGTTCAGGAGGGAGCCAGAGAAGTCCATTATTTTCAAAATCTACAGGCGCAGCAGCATCTAAAGAAGATGATGCTTCACTTTCTTCACCAACTTCACGTTCTTGTTTCTTCACAAAATGTGATATTCCTTCTGAACCTGGTGAAGGAAAACCATGGCTCATCGGAAAACTGCTTAAACTTTTTGAGACAATATTTTCTCTATCAGGATAAATTTTATGTGGCCCATCATCGTTGCTCATCTCATCAAAGTCAATAGGACTATAGTAGCCATTATCTTGAGAGAAATGCTTTGTCTCAGAATCAGACAGATATAAGCTGTGCTCATCATCCTCATCATCACTCCTGATGCCAAAAGAAAATCAAGTAACAGGTAAGTAATTGGAATAGCACGTTAAGACCCTCTTTCCCCACCAACTCTTCCAATTGGTTTTAATGGCTACTTATTTTTCCTTTTCCTTTCCCTTTTTCTATTTCTGTTTCTAAGAGACTTATTCTATAGATAGCACTGATCAAAAATTAAAAAAAAAAAAATGCTAGTTGAGACAAGTACATGCACACTCAGGTGTCCAAGGGCCTAAGACAAATATGAAGAATTAAGTTAAGCTTGATTGATAGACAAAACAAATTTAAGAAAATGAAATTAAGAGGGCAAGATCATCTGACCTGTTCAACCAAAAATCATATTGGTTTGAAGATGGTTCTTCTGCATCCATAATAAGATCATTGTTCCTCTTTGGTGCTCTCTTGCTAGGACTATCCATGCTTTTATTCATTTTAGACAGTTGATGAGGGCTGAGAACAGATCTCGGTTGAACTTGTTGATATGGTCCAGCTGAATATAGTACTGAGCCAAGCGTAAAACTACTACTATTAGCAGTGCCACTTGATTTAGTGCTGATAAAACTAGTGGACGATGATGAAGTACTAAGATCCTGGTTGGGCACTTGGACTCCATCATCAATAGTAGTTATGCCCTGCTCCCATTGCTTGAAACAATAATTACATACCCGAATCTTCTCCCACTCTTCTTGGGGAATCCTTGAATCATTAGATGGTGCAGGAACTGAGTTTGCTGTACACTTGGCACAGAAAACTCGGCCACAGAGTCGACAATGGTGTCGACGGTTAAATAATGTGAACTGGGAGTCACAATCATAGCATACCCTGCAGCTATGATCAGGCATCCAAAAATCCCTTGACACATTAGCAGGTTCTGATCGCCAAGGGAGCCACGATTTTAGTAAACTAACTAGCTCGGAAAATGTCTTGTTTGTGGCATCCATCTACAAATGATCCTACTACCCCCCGCTTATTATGTCATGTTCATTTGACACTCTTACCAAACCATAAAATAGATAGCACCAAATTCACCTCAAATGAAGACACAATCTCACCAAGAGCAACAATAGATCTTTGAAAATTCTAAGAATCAATAACCGACTATTATGTCCAGCAATCCACCTATCAAAGTTGCTCTTACTTCACCATCTCAATCTAAGAATGACTATCTGCTGCCAACTTCATCAAACCCTATCCAAATTATTGCCTAATCTACTCTACAGTTCAACTAAAATGAACTCAAAATTTCGACATACGCACCTGAAAATTCTTCTATCTTCAAATTCTTGAACCAAGAACTAGCTGAACAAAATCACAAAATTGCAATAAATCAAACCTTACAAAGGGTAAAAGACTGATCCTCAGTCACTACAAATAAGATCAAACCACGCCCTTTTCTCATGAACCAACTCATACCATCTGTCACCAATCACTCCCACGCGTAAATTAAACAGTCCATTATTCAGCAAAAAATCACCAATAGAGATATCGTTTCCTAATCACAACCACCGATAAATAAACGAAATTTTCCCTTCCCCACACATAAAAACAACAAACTTATACGCGATTCAACCATTGTACCTCAAATTGCCAATCAACAACGTCATCATCAATCAATCAATGATCAACCTCTTCAAGAATGAAGCAGCCTGCCAACAGATTCTTGCCACGTATGCAAACAGACCGTTATAAAGAAAAAAGGGTAGGTGAAAGCCAAGGGAAGGAAAAAACCCTCACAACCCAGAATGCGGTTCTTTATCAAAAAAACCAATAAAACGATAAAACCATTCTTGATCATGAGCATCGAGTTCTCAAAATCAAAAAAAATAAAAATCCCATTTTTTCCTATTTGACAAATTTGTATCAAAAGAACACCTGGAATAGCCTACGCATTTTATTTATACAAAAAGATAATCTGGGTATATAATCTCTAGTCTCACAATCGATTAAAATTGAGTCAAAATTTTCTTTTTTTTTTTTCTATAAAATTGTGTTTTTCTTGTCCTTGAATTTGTTGACAATGCTGGTTCATATTATTCTGTCCCTTTATCCCGGGCCAGAGAAAGCGGCTCTCCTCCAACATGGGTACATGATATGAACTGTAGACTCTGCTTTATGTAAACAAAAATTGAATTTTTGAGCAATTTTTGTGTCGTGGAAGGACAAAAATGACCTGAAAAAGAGTTTTAAGAAGGGACAGAGATTTTGTACGTTTTGATTGTTGTGCCACAGAAACAGATGAGTCAGTCATTTGCTGTCTCTCACCGACAAAGTCCAAACCGCGTTTGCGGTTTTTTCGACGACGGTACACTCCAACGCTTCAACTTTGAAGCTATAATCATCACATTGTAGTTTGGTTTTGGAAAACAAACATTTTTATTAAATTATTTTTTCATGTCATTAAAAAAATAAAAGAAAGAGTTTTACTTGTGAACAAAGCATTCAAATTTATTATTGCTTTGAGTGCAAACATATTTCTTTGTTTGTGAATAAGATAAAATAATAATAATAATGCAATTATCATGCTGATTTTGGTAGGGTTATCTTAATAAAGAAAGGGTTTTTTTAAAGAAAAGAAAGAAAGGATTGAGGTAAGATGAAATGTAAATCCACAAATTATATTAAGTTGACTTTTCTAGTGCTTGATTTAAATAGTACTGTGTTTTTTTTAATGGAATGTTGCCCAATAGATAATAACAGATTTTGTAATGATAATAAACTAAATTTCTTGAGAAGAATTGTATATTTTTTAAAAAGAGTTATCATAGTTGTTAACCTCCTAAATAAATAAATAGTTAAAAAATATACCTCCTATGTGGATATATAAAGAGTTGAAATTGATGAATACAATTAATTAATAAACAAAAAACCAGATATTTTTATTGTAAAAGAAGTTGTGATAATAAATAAAATGTTATGGATATTAATATTTGAATTTGAATTTTATTTTATTTTTAAAAAATAATTATATAAAATTATTAAATTTAAATTTAATAAAAATTTATGAATAAAAATCATAAAAATTCAGAATTTTGTAGGCAAGAGTCTTTTTTTTTCCTTTAGGTTTAATGGAAAATTGAGGAATCTTGACTAAAGATTATGGAAATTAGTTCAAGATATTATTGGAATATCGAATTAAATAGTGAAAAAAATTTTGATTTTAATAGATTTGATAATTTAAAATACAACACGATGATATTATACAAAAATGATACGAATAAAAAATATAAAAATAACATGACTTAAAATCTTAAAAAAATCATAAATAAGTTTAATAAAATTAAAAAATTATATTTTATATTTTCGTATTGATATGATTTATAACACATGATTTTCATATAAAATATGATACGAATATAATATTTTATATTATACAATGATACGAATTATCATATTTATTTTTATGGATTTATATCTAGATTTTATTATATATAATGTGAGTAAAGGCTTTGATATTATCAAGAATTGGAAATGATGAAATTATTATACCTTCCTAGAAAAAGCCTTGGAAATTTCCTGAATCAAAGTAACTTCAAATATTCTTCATGTGTCATCCAACCATGCAAGGTTGAGAGATTGGACAAGCAACTGGTAAAGCAACCAACTTCCTTTCTTTCTCTGAGCGGCCCATGTTCATCCTATGGAAAAGGCCTGGACTGGGAGGAGACCAAATCCCTTGTTCGACCAGAAACTTTAATAATCAAATCGTTATAAAATCACATCACAATGAAATATTGATAATAAAAATTTAAATATTAATAAATTTTGCAAATATTAATGATTAAATTGTAAAATTTTTAAAGTTTCAAGTTGATTAATAAAAATAAAAAAACTGTTAAAAAAAATGAACAAAAGTTTAATTTGTCTTTCTTTTCATTTGCAATTCAAGTACATAAAAAGCTGCAGCATGCAGCACTTTGATATACGACATCGTTTTTCACTAATTCGTATGCAACTAATAATGCGGATAATCACCTAATTATATCTTTCCTAAGCACTCAGACAATCAGAATCTCTCTCACAACCGCTACAGCCGAACAGGATCCTGGCTTTTTTTTACTGCATCACTTTCCTTCAAATTTTCCCTAGAAAGTGACGCTTCTAAACACAGACACATTAAAAAACCCTTACCCAAATACAAAATTTTTATTAAATGTGGCGGAGATCTGCTTCTTTCATTCTCGACAGACAGCAAGAGCAAAACGACGGCGGCCCACCAAATCCTGAATCCCTCTTTCTCTCATCTCCACCTCCTCCCATGGCCGATTCTCTCCAAAACCCTAAATCTAATATTTCCGCCTATTACCAGAACCGTGCCGCCCAACACCCCGTTGTAACGAGCGATTGGCTCGCCCAGGCCCAGGCCGCTGTCAGCCGCAACCCCGACGATGATGACTCGTCTGGAGGTGACGTAAGAGTCGCCCCGACTGGTGGAGGAAAAGGAGGCGAGAAGGCGTTTAGCGTTATTGGTGAGTTCAATAGCTGGAGGAAGCAGCCGGATTTGGCGGAGGCCGTGGCGGCTATACGCGCCCTCGCGGCGGTTATCAGGGCTAGCCAGGCTACCACCATGATGGAGCTTGAAATTGAGATTAAAAAGGCTTCTGATTCACTTAAAGTCAGTCATTTAGTTTTTATTTTAAATTTAAAAAATGCTTTTTAAGTTTTCTATGCTTAAAGCGAGTCATTTTGTTTTCTATGTCTAGTGTTTACTGTATTGCTATGCTAGGACGCTGAAATTTATCAAAGCCACAGTTTTCTTGTTGCATGTCTCAATTTTGCGAGGCGATTAAATGCTAATGCCTGTATGATTGTCAACGCCTAATAATACTGCATTTTTTTGGGAACATTTTCGAGTTTGTTCTTGAGTTTCCCATGGACATTATGAGTGGTATTGCCACCCTGGTTACAGAAGTGTATTATAAGTTGCGTAGGTTTCTTGATATAAAGCCATTCTCATTCTTAGGTCTGTGATTTTAAACCATTGGCAATATGCTTTAGTACTTTGGTGTGGTTTGATATATCTGAAGCTTTTTGGTCAAAAGAATGTGCATGTAACTAGTAAATAGTGGTGCTTTGGAAGTAATTCTTTTATGTTACTCCCTGATGTTTAACATTAGTTTGTGAGAAATCATATTTTAAACAGATAAAGAATGACTTATTGGGTGTTTAACATGATGATAAAATGGTGTTGAAGGAATGTCTGTAAACAGGAGCCGAGCGAGTAGGGAAGCCTGACTTATTGATTGTCGATTAACTCAGTCGATCGAGTTTTATTTTTCAAGCTCGAGCCATTGTGATGAATTCGAGCTATTCGACTCGCTCGATTAAGCTCGATTAATATGTAAAAATAAGCTCGATTCGTATACTCGACAAGAGTTCGATTATTCATGCTCGACTCGAACTCGAACTCGGATTCGAAATATTTTATTAATTAAAAAAAATAAAAATATATTTAAATATAAAAGCTCGATTAGGCTCGCGAGCTACTCGAGTCAGATATAAGAATACTCGAATTCGGCTCGATCGGTAAGTCGAGCTACTTGAGCTCGAGCTCGACTCGACAATAATCGAATCGAATTCGAGTTTTTTTCGAATCGAACCCGAGTAGCTTGCGAGTACTAATGTATCATTTACACCCCTAGAAGGAAGGGATCGGGTGGCATGATAAATCTAGGAGATGCTTTGTCCTTATCTGTTGCCAATACATCTTAGATTTATGAGTTATCTTTATGGTATATGGTATTACCCTTTAATATGTGACAGGTATACATGTTCTATTTTACAACACTAAGTCACATTGTTTTATAGAATTTGAATGTAATAGTAATTAAAGGAAGTGAAGCATTTTAATGGCATAAGGTTTTTATAATCAAAATGTCCAGGCACTAATGTTAGATTCGCAAGAGTGAACTTGGTAAGAATTTAACATATATTTTCTTGCACTACTTTGGGTGAGGAATTCTGTTTATGGAGATGTGGAAATTAGAGGGTAACATGCAGAAATTATCCCAGTTAATGCCGAATTATGGTTGGTTTTAATCCATTGAGAAAATTGACACAATATCCCTGAACCGTTTTCATTTAGTTTGATGTTTAAATAATGTTGTCTGTCTTTCTGGTTTGCCTCACTCCTAAGCTTATGTTTACTTTCCAGTCATGGGACACAACCTCTATCTCTTTGACAGCAGGTTGTGATCTCTTCGTGCGATATGTGACTCGAACATCAGCTTTAGAGTACGAGGACTTTAATTCAGCTAAGTCTCGCCTGATTGAACGTGCAGAGAAGTTTGGGGAAATATCTTGTAAGGTATTTCGGATAATTGTGGCTTTTTAAGTAACCACTTCGCCACTGCAGTATTTTACTTTAATTATACTTCAAGCATTCCTGTCCGAAAGACATTATTGCCAAACATTGCAGGCACGCAGGATTATTGCAATGCTAAGTCAAGATTTTATATTTGATGGTTGTACCATTTTGGTACATGGTTTCTCCAGAGTTGTTCTAGAAGTATTGATGACAGCAGCACAAAACAAGAAACTTTTTCGAGTTTTCTGCACAGGTTTCTCCAGAGCTTTTTAAGTACCTTGTCATCTGCATGCAACTATTTCTTAACAGGACTAAATCAAATGTGCTGTCTTAAAAAGAGTCATAGTCATCTTTTGCATATGTTCTATTTCCGACAAGTGACTATATTTTAGTAATTCATATCAGATTATGTGTTTATGACAGAGCCCATCTTACCTTTAAACTTGCTTTTAATACAGAAGGAAGGCCAGACAGAACAGGACTACGATTATCTAATGAGCTGGCCAAGCTTGATGTCCCTGTAAAGCTTATAATAGACTCTGCTGTGGCATATACTATGGATGAGGTGGATATGGTATTTGTTGGGGCAGATGGAGTGGTTGAAAGTGGGGGTATCATAAATATGATGGGGACATACCAGATTGCATTGGTGGCGCATAGCATGAATAAACCTGTTTATGTGGCAGCTGAAAGCTACAAGGTGATTATCCCATATACAAGAACATAAGAAAGAATTGATATAGAATTGAAGTTGAGGTTTTGATTAGCTACAAAGCATAATCACTTGTGATATTATTCTTTGCAGTTTGCCCGTCTTTATCCATTGGACCAAAAGGACATAGGTCCTGCCTTACGCCCCATTGATTTTGGGGTACCCATTCCATCCAAGGTCGAGGTTGAAACATCTGCTAGAGATTACACTCCTCCTCAATATCTTACTCTACTATTTACAGATTTGGGTGTTCTTACTCCTTCCGTGGTTAGTGATGAACTTATTCAGCTATATTTATAGTGACGCTTGGATGTAATTTTCTTTAAAAATTTCAAAAAATGTCCGGAAAGATTATTAAAATTTGAATGTGTTATGAAACTTGTTTCATCCCATTGGTTTCACAAATCAGAGGATCATGTATGCATCATATAAAAAATGAGGAATTTCCTTTTCCATGTACATAATTAGCTAGAGGAACTTCATCAATAACAAAAACACTAGCGATATCAACAATGATTAATTAGTCCAATTCAGACGGAAAGGAATTCTCTTCTTTTGCCAACCAAGGTTCAATCATTGGGATAGCATTTTAGGAGTAAAATTATGAATGTATGAAGATGATTTCGATCATTGTAAAGAGTATTTTAAAAGTAAAATTTTGAATCTGTTCATAAAAAAAGAAGACAAAATTAGACTCAAAAAAAATTGGAAGACACCTTGACTGTATAAAAAAAAACAAAAAATGCTAGCCAGCTGTATGCTAATTACCTGTTAGGCATTAGTTAATTTTTTAACAGAGTAAAACTTTTTCTTTTGTTGCCTAAAGGCAATGAAGATTAGGGCTTTTTTTGGATTAGTATAATTAATTAAATTTTAATTTTGACACAACATGCCATGCAATAAAAGCCAGATATATATATATATATATATATATATAATGAGGGTCCTTGACATGTACTTTATGTCACAGGAAAAAAAACAATGAACACGTTTTTGTTTAGGAAATTTATGACCCGTGATATATATTTTTTATTTTTATTTAAATAATTTCTCCATTCTGGGAAGTTAGGACGTTCTGAATTATTAATGTTGATCACATGTTCCAAAAAAAGAATAATTACTAAAATAAACAAATAATACTATATAGTATTTATTTTAACACGTTTCTCACGTTTTGTAAAAGAATGAATCATAATTTGAAATATGAAAATGATTATACTATATAAAAGTGATATAAATAAAAGATATAAAAATAATATAATTTAAAATTTTTAAAAAGTTATAAATAAATTTAATAAAATCAAAAAAATTATATTTTATATTTTTATATAGATATAAATTATAAAACATAATTTTTATATAAAATATAATATAAATATAATATTTTATATGTCATTATAATAGGAATTATCAATCGTAGTTTCAACTGAGAAAATGAAAAAGGTCCAAAAGAGCCAAATACACTCCAAAAAGACTGAAAATGTTCCCAGTTTCTCTCATTAAATAAAAAATATATGCCTACATTTTAGTGCTTTTAAATATCCATTACTCCTTCCCTTCGAAGCCTCTTCATTCCCACCAATTTTCCTCTCATCTTCTTGTCTCTCTAGCTCTCTGCTTATTGTTCAATAAACAGCAATGATTCTGAAACTTCGGAGCCCTTTCAAGCTGGAAGGGGACAGTACCGGAGAGGACAAGAACAATCCAATTTATGCAAGCTGCAGCAAGACTTCATCATCAGTTGTTGGTTTGAGAATCCTTACACAAATTTCACAGGGAAAACCGGATGTTGCCGTTGTTGTTGTTAAACCTGACTTGAAAATTAGCTTCCCCACCTCTAGAAAGCATTACCATGGCCATTCCGGCCGGTTGCCTGCCAGTCAATCTTGTTTTCTCAAGTCATGTCATCTATGCCACAAAAACTTAAGCCTAGATAAAGAAGTTTACATGTACAGGTAACAAATCATTTCATACCCACATTGTTTTTTTTTTTTTTTTCCTTTTTTTGCTATTTTGTGTTTTCCAATATTTTTGGGGGGCTTGATAACATATATTAGAAAGGATTAAAATCTTGGTATATGGCTAAATTCTGATAGAAATTATGTGAATTCAGGGGTGACCAAGGCTTTTGCAGCATAGAGTGCAGGGACAGGCAAATTGTTTTGGATGAAATGAGGGAACTTTAACTGTCTACTAAACAGATGCTAGCATCTTCTAGGCATCGTAGCGCATCCGGCCGACGAGATACCTGCATCCTCCTAGACGATCTCTGCCGGAGAAATAAATCCCCTCATCAAAACCAAAAGCATTGGGCAATAGTCTCATAATTCATAACTTCATATTACATATATATAATGATTTTAGTTTGGAATTAGGAGATTTCCTCTCTATATAAAAGAGAAGAAAATTATTGATTATACAACTTTTTTTTTTTCAATTTTTTTTAGATGAGGAAGTGGAAGATATTTGATTAATGTTGTAAAGTGAAAGAAAGTGATGAGTAGCTGGGATGTTTTTGTGACATATCGTTATAAACAACAATGGATAAATATAATTCTAATCTAAGGCATTGTCTTTTTGCATCAAAATTACTTTCTAAGATAAGTATGCCTTCTCATTCTTGCCCATCACTATCCTTCTTTCTTGGCTACAACAATAAAAAAAGCTGACAATGGCTAATACTTATCGGCTATTATAATGGCAGATAAGTATGTCTTTTTGCTTTTTCAATTATACTTTGGTTTTGACATTAAATGATCTATGAGAGAAGAAGGGTTTCATGTGCCTGCATAATGAAATGGCCATATAGATGATGCTATCTTGGCATTTTCCTGTGTGGTTTAAGAGTCATCATTTTCATTTGTCAATTGTAACCTGTCATTGCTGCCATTTCAATCAATTCAATCCAATTACTTATGGTTCTTAATTAAGTTTTACATTAATAGTGTTATGTGGAGATTATAAGTTACATTATGATAAATTTTTGTATCCAAATATTAACAAACCAATACAGGGGATCCATTTGTGAACCTGATTAAAAAACTCTCATTAGTATGCAAGGAGAAAAGTATTATAATATCTTTATTATCTGGTCTTAACAGTATGATCGAAAGAATTTGGATGGTTGTGACTAATGAAACAATCGTCACAGTTGCAGGATCAGTGGACGTCTGTAAGAATTGAAGCCCTTGATTGGTCCCATCACAATTTCGAGCTTGGACTTCTTTCTTTTCTTGAAAAAAGCAATCATTTAATTATTCTTTCAATGGTAGGAAATGCACGGGGGGAATTCAATGCTACCCTTACTGTCTGCAATGAAGATGGTGGGGATGGCAAGATCTGACAACCTTCACTTGGTAGATGATTTCTATTCCTCACCCGCTACATCAAGATGAAGCAGTATTACCAATATGCATTAGACTAGAGTCACAGTTGCAAAAGGCCTCGCCAATCTGTTCAAGAGTGCCAACTATTATTGGAAATTGCCAACAGTCTGTAGAGTGCTAAACTACTTGTTTTTGAAATTGGGCCCAAATTTGGACTCCATGTTTTACAAGTGAAGCCCTCCCAAGGTCCAAGTTACAAGAACTGTCTTGTTTTTTGGTAGTTTCGAATTTCCTATTTCATGCTTTGAGCCAACTGTTTTTTTTTTTTTTTTTTTAAGAAAAAACAAAATAAAAATAAAAATCCCAACTCTTTTTTTGCCTTTTAATTAAGCAAAAAAAAAAAATTCTTTTATTAGAAAGATACATGCACGCAGTAGTTTTAAATATTAAACTGCCCAACTCTCATTTTTCAGATATTTTCTTGTCTATAAATTTATTATCTATGTACACATATATGCTTGCACAAGTAAGAACATGCCAAAACAAAAGGAAAATATATGGGTCATCAATGCCATCCATAGCATTTAATCATATTCAATATGACCTTTGACCATTATTGGTGCAATGTACTGTCTTCCATGAGGCCAAAGTGAATTAAATTTGTTTTTCAATTTGTAATCAATTTCTCATAAGCAACTTATTACTAATAATTAAGTAGTATTAAAATTTTATTAAATTTGAGATAGAAGCCTGTTTCAAGAGGAATAATAAATCTTTCTTCAAACTCTTCTAATTTCATCATTAGATGCTCTTCTACACAATTTTAATCATTTAGCTGTTGATAGGGTATTATTCTTGCTGATTAAAGATACAACATTAATTCAAGTTTAAGTATATATATGTAGAATTATTAAAAATCATTTTGCATAGAGCTTTGCACTGATTGAAATCATAATTCATGGTGTACTATAGTAATGAAGTATAACATGTTATCATCATCATGTAGATATAATTCAGGAATAATAAATCTTTTTTATTGATAGATTAAGTTGGTAACTATACATATTTCTTTTAATAATACAGTTAAAGATTTTTTTCAAATTTAATTTGTTTGGTCTGCATCTCTCTTTTGGATGACTTTAAAGATGTATTTTCTCATATGGATTTAATACATTCACAATTTTGTTCTTGAAGCATTTCGTACAAGGAATGAACATTAATTATAAAAAAATAAGAAAAAATTTCTTCTACCAACTGAATCACTGAATTTTGCTTTGGTGTCGGTAACTATATATATAATATATGAAAAAGCATGATAATTAACTTAGCTTTAATCCCTTTGCTTTGATATATTATATATGTTATTGCTTTGCCATCACTTTCCAAAACCTAGTGCACAGCCAAAGTAAAGAATAAGGATTAGGTGACAATAATGGAAGGAAAAGAACACGACTATAAGCATGGAAGATGCAAGAACCTTCTTTGAATACTACATACAACTTTTATCCCTTTCAAAAGTGCTTTAAAGTCTAAGATAACACTTCCTTTCAAAAGGTTTATAGATAAGACCATGCAAAAAAAAAAAAAAAAAGAAAGAAAAAGGGTGTTAGAAAAAGAAGATTTGACAAATATATGGAAGCTTTTAGTTGCTTTGATTCAAAACCCAACCATTTAAGGTCCACTCCTCTCCTTCTTTACCTCTAATAATGAAACTTCTAATAATTGCATGTAATCTGTACCAAAACCCCACTTTTCAACATCCTTGTAAACCCCTCCATTCTTTCTCAAATATTGTTTTACAGTTTCATTGGGGCCTCAGTGTCTCACAGGTTAATCCATGCGTGCATTATTTAAATGTAGTAGTTTTTTAGTTTCTACAGCCAAGGACCCACGCCTTCATTTTAGCCCTCCCTCAACGCCAGTGATGCTACATTGATATCGTTTCACAACTGTCTTCCCCATGCTATGCTTTGCCAAATTGGTCCCAGCTAGTTTCCCCATGCTACATTGATAAGGTGGTCCTCTTGGTTATGGCCATGAAATATGTCATTCAAAACCGTATGCAAATCTGATTTTTGTGATTGATGTAACTGGTCAGAAAACAAGGAGTATGTCGGATTCTAGCCTAATTTTGAATCTAAATAGCCACTTTAATGTTAGATTGTTAATGGATCATTCAAGCAAGGAGTATGATTAGGCCACTTGAACTTGAACTAAACTCAAATGGTTAAATTTTGGATAGACATTTTAGATTTTAATCACAATGTTCTTATATAAAAAATTATTACATCTATTGCAATCGTAGACACCTATTTTTTTGAATTTGTTTTTTCTATGGGTTTCAAATAAGAATAATAAAATAATAAATAAAAATAAAGTTTTATTCCTAATAAAATTGCAAGAAAAATTTTTAAAATTTTGAAAACGGGATCAAGAAAGGAATTTATTTTTTAAATGAAGATAAAGAAATTAGAGGATAAGAGGATCTTAATTTTCAAACCCTCGTTCAATCTTGTGCCTAGCCTTACATAAACCCCCAGCAAGCACAAGAAGAAAACAAACAAAGAAAAGGACAAAAGGAGAGTAATCGAATTAAAAAATTTTCGAAGAAACTTTAGTTTTTAGTAAGAAGTGTCTGGGAAATTCATTGCTTTGATTGGAGGATTAATTTTTTTGGGGGATTTTTCTATATTTTTTGTGGAATTTTTTGGAAATTTCATAATTATATTGAATTTTTCGACGAAAATTCAAATTTTTCAATGACTTTCCAGTAAAAAATCTAATTTTCGACGATAAAATCCAAAAACTAACAAGATTCCACTGAAGTTTTTTACATCTTAGAGAGAGATGTAGAGAAAAAGGAGAGAAGAGAGAGAGAACGGGGGAGCATATGAGGAAAAAATGAAAATTTTTACCTTTTATACTAACATGAAATGGTGCCATTTTGAGACATTAAAAGTGAATAGGATTCGTATGTTGCCCAAGATCCGACCTGACCCGTAGCGTGTTGACCTTCTAACCCGTTTCATTCTTCCCTGTTGAGTCACCTAGTTGAGTCACACATCAAGCCGCTTCAGCCATGTTTGTCTCAGGAGTTGCATCCTATTTGAGCCCAGCCAAGTCGTGCCAAAGTTTTTTTATATCCATTTATTTATTATTTATTTATTATTATATATATTTTGTTTATTTATTTATTGATTAAATTAAAATCATTTATTTATTTAATTAAACTTTTTTTATATTTCTAATGATTTTCTTAAAATAAAATTTTCAAAAGAAAATACTTTATGAAAAAGTTGAAAGTATCAATTAAAAATGAAAATTTCAAAAAACTGTTTTTTGAAGGAAATATTAATTTTCCTTGAAAAATGAAAAATTCAAAAATATTTTAAGAAAAAGTTAAAAATATCAATTTTCTTTAAAGATCAAATTAAAAAAAAATACTTTAAGGAAAAGTTAAAAGTATCAATTTTTCTTGAAAATAAAATTTCAAAAAAAAAAACTTTTAAGGAAAAGTTGAAAAGTATCAATTTTTCTTAAAATAAAATTTTCAAAAATGCTTTAAAGAAAAGTTAAAAGTATCAATTTTTTAAAAATAAAATTAAAAAAAAACATTTTAAGGAAAATTTTAAAGTATCAATTTTCTTTAAAGATGAAATTTTCAAAAAAAAAAATTCAAAAGAAGATTAAGAGTATCAATTGTCCTTAAAAATAAAAATTTCAAAAGATGTTTTAAAAGTTGAGAGTATTATTTTTTTTTTAAATAAAGATTTTCGAAAGATGTTTTTTTTTTTAAGAAAAAATTGATAGTATCAATTTTTTTTGAATAAAAGCATAAATTCTTTAAAAAAAAACAAAATAAGAAAAGCAATCTCCATAAAAAATTGAAGTATTATTTTTTTTCTTTATTGAAATTCTTTTTTAATGTTAAATTATTCGACAACAGATCTCTTACAAGAAAAACAATAATTTTTTTATACTCTTGAGGTGATGAAATTTTTTTAATTTTTTGTCAAAAGTATTAGAGTTAATTAAAAATAATTTTAAATAATTAATTATTTAATAAAGATTTTTAAGGTTGAACGGATAACACGAAATCAAGTTGATATTACCTTTTGATGGGCGTTGTAAGAGTACTATAATCTTTTTCATATGTAACCATACTCTCAAATCTGATTTTATTTCGTAGATATTGAATTTACTTTTTAAAATATCTAAGTCAAACTTAAGATTTTTGTTTAAAAAAGATAGATTCAGTTAGATGATCAATCGTACTTAAATAAAAAAAATTGATAATAACTCTTTAAGTCAACATCTATCGATAAATTCATAGATTTAAACGTTATGATAACAAATAAGTTCAAAATTAAAAAATGACATATACCTAGTAAGTATAATAAAAAATTAAAAAATACA